CTGGTTTTCAAATTAAGCTTTTACACTTGAGCTTAGCAGGACAATTGTCGGTTCCACACACATCTTTCCAGTAATAGCCAAGTGACTCCGCATGTGAGATGCCTTGTTCCCTGAGTTACTTGATGAGAATCTGCAGGTGTCAGGAGGGAAGGAGTCAGGGCAGCGTATTTCCAGACAAGCTGCGTCTTTGGGGGAGAGTAGGGGTGGCGCCCTGGAAGATGTCACCTCCTGACTCGTTTAGTTGGGACCATCCGTCTTCACACGTTGGATTTCCAGAGAAGTGTCCGAAGGGCAGAGTGGGCTGGAGCTGGTCTTGGCTGTCACCCACGGAAGGGAGGGCTGGAAACGTCAGAAAACTGTGGTCCTGGGAGCAGCCTGACCCGGGTGGGGGGGGCGGCTCACCAGACGTGTCCCCTTTAAGACTGCTGTCCTGCTGAGGGTCAGGCTCAGCTGCTGTAACAGAGAAATGGGGAGAGGTGGTCCCGGGGCAAAAGTGACAGTTTTGGAGGCTGAGAGTGTCTGTGGACGCAGGTGCAGCAGGACGACCATGGTTAATGGCACTGCATCGTGTTGGGGACATGGGCCAGGAGAGTAGCCTGGAGGTGCTCCCACCACACAAAGTGAGAAACACGCGAGGAGTGGGGCGTGCTGATTAGCTTGCCCGTAGTGATCGTTTCACTGTGTGCACACGCACCACATGTCACATTGTACACCTTAAATTCATACAATTTTTTATTACAAAAAAAGACGAGCTCTGGGAAGTGAGTGGCCAGCAGCTATACCTGGACTCTGACTTCCACAGGGACAGAAATGACAGTCCTGCCAGGGTCAGACCCAACCTGCAAAGGACCGGACGGCAGCTTTTGCTTTCTTGCTCTGGGAAACCAGCTCCTAGGATGTGTCCCAGCCACCAGCCCAGCCGAGCTCCAGGTGACAGCCCCTGTGAGCCAGGCCTCGGCCGAGGTCACGGGCAGCGGAGAGGAGCCATCCCCGTGGGCCTGCCCACGTCGTGCAGTCCTGCAGGAACAAATGAGGACTGCTTTAAGCCACTGTGTTTAGGGGT